AGCAACAGAAGCTGAAAGAACAACATCAAAAGAATCAGACAAAATATCATCTGTCACAACACAAAGCACCTCAGCACAAAACCCTCCACATGTAACAACTGAGACACAGAGTGCAGCTGCAGACACAGGATCATCAACTGCTTTCAAACAGACTGCGGTGTCTACATTCAGTGAATCAGTGTCTGATCACAACAGAAATAAATCAACTTCATTGCAATCATCGACTCAAACGATAGATGAAACAAATGAATCAGAGAATCAGACTGAACACGCATCACCTCCAACGACCAAATCAAGAGAGATTCCAAGAACACAACAACCTCCAATTACTGGATCAACAACAGTTCAAGAAAACACAAAAAGTAAGTCAATATCCCTGTCTACACTTGACAGGAGACAAACAGAGCACAGTGGCACACAAACAAATTATACTCCACCAGTGACCATCAATCAAACTTCTACCACAACTGCAAAGCAACCTGTTGGATCTATAACAACTCAAGGAAGCGCAGACTCCAGGTCAATCTATATGTCAGCACAAACGTCAGCTAAGAAAACAAGCATAACACCTGCAACAACTAAATCAAACACTCAGGATACAGCAACATCATCCTCAACAACTGAACCACACACTACAACGACAGCAGCAACTACTGAAAAACAACCTACAACTACAAAACAAACCGTCAGTTCAGCAACAACAGTTTCGTCGACGACTTTGACAATCACAGCACAAGCAGCGACAAACGCCAATTATGACACCTCATCAACAGCCGGACAGGCATCACCCACAGCTTCTACACAAAGCAAAGAATTATCAACCCAGCTACCAGCACAAGTTGGAGAGAAGACTACAGGGAAACAAGAGGCAGGACGAACAACGGGAACTACAGTGAACACCACACCACACACCACAGCATCTTTATTTACATCTGCTCAAGAAACTACACAAACAGCTGCACACACAATTACCCATGAGGCACCAGAGACGGCATCAGGTATGTTAGGACGCAAACATTTCCACTGATGATCTACAGTCATACCAGCAGATGCAAATCAAACTAACGTCTATTTTTTTCTTGTGCTTCTGCAGCAGCATGGACAACGGATCAGCACTCATCCGCATCGCAAAGTTCAGGATCTTCCAGTTCACAACAACAACCTCAAAGTGCCTCACTGGTCCCAGTTAGCACATCAAGAAGCACTTCATCTTCAGTCCCAGCGCAGAGTTCATCCCATTCCACAGCAGAAGAAGCTCGTTCAAGTGCTTCCCCTCAGGTTAACGGGACTACAAATATGGAGAAGGCTACGGTGAAATCCACAGCAGCCGAGCATGGAAGCACAGAGACAACAGACTCCAATTTATACACATCATCAGCTGACCTCAGGCACGCAAACACAACGCAACTGGAATACGATGCAAGAACTTTGCCTGTTTCTCGAAACAGGACTGTGTTTTTCAAACACAGTCCGAGGGTTGTTATTGTGGAGCCTTTAGTCTTTCATTATCCAGTCGTGGAGCGCATCACGTTTTTATCAAACGATACAGACGAAACTGATGGAACAACAAACCTAATCGTAACAAGGTTTCCCAATGGTACAAAATGATGAAGACAAATTACTCGTTAAAACATTTATCATATGTTGATGTAAAGTAATATTTGAGTTAAAATTTTATTGGGACGGTTTCTCATAATCTCTTTTGTTCTGTGGAGATGTTGCGACGGCTCAGGACTTTAAATTTAGTTCAAAAGAGCAACCTAAATCTGGAGAGCCAATAGGAGTACTCGCAATAAAACTTGGTGTGGGCATTTTACAACATGTAGGCCACATCCAGCTCTTTAGTTGTTCCAGACTGGCCTGCAGTGGTTAATAGGTTAGCAATAAATAAATAAATAAATAAATAAATAAATAAATAAATAAATAAATAAATAAATAAATAAAGTTTATTTTGTAGACAAGTCCAACTATGTGTTTATTATTTGGAGAATCCAATCTTTATTTCACTTTTGTCTCTCTGTCTGCTACAACAGCGTCCAATATGTACCAATATTCATTTTGCTACCAAATGTAATTTCTTCTATGTAATCACTGCACACATACCATCATCACAGCATGAGTGTTAGTACTAATAATATTTCAATTGTCACGAATGCACACACTGCATGTGACATTCAGCCTGCCACAGATGATGGTATCCAACATGCTAAAGTGAAAAGATATCGTAGTCTAATTTGCCTAATATACATAATACTGTATAAAAGTTTGGTTTCTTACACTGCATTTTTAGATTACGACATGTTCTATTTTGCAAAAAATGTAAAAATCCGAATTAGCTGGTAATGGAACATTTCAAAATCTTCAAAGTAAAACAAAACAACAAACTCCTATGTGCAAAGGTAACACAGTGCAACATGAACTGCAGTCTGAAGGTGAAATTTGAGGTTGTAAAGTATAAAGTATCGTCATTTTGTTTGTCCAACATGTGGATAATTGTTTATAATGTACAACCTATTGAGAGGTAAACACATCTTGTTTTTAGTTTCATGCAATGGCTCACTTCATCATTTGTCATAATTGTTTTAGAAACAGATTTCTTTGTTCCACTGTATTACCCTTTGATCTGTTATTGAAGACATCAAGCACATTTTTTCATTAATTTTTTACATTTTCTGTCAATGCTGTGCCCCGTGGCAAAGTGGTTAGCACTTTAACTTTTTCCAGAAAGTCTTCGGTCATCAATCTTTTTTTCTTTTTTCCTCTTAAAGTGGATTGCACCCAGGCTCTTTGTCATCTGGATCAACAACATGAAGTCTGGTGTATCTTTACAACTAGGAAAGAGCAAAATTCCATTTTAAAGGTCTAATTACAAAGTTGCACAACATAACATTTCAAAATCTCAATGTGGATGTTCTATCCAGACCTTATATTGTAACGTGTGTCTATTTTTAATAAAAACTAATGCTCTCAGTGTCTATATTTGTGGCATTGCGCTTCTTTCAGTTTTGCTTTTAAAGCAGCCACTTTCCTCCTGTCATCTAATAACCCCATCCTCCATCTGCGCCAGCCTGTGTCATCAGTGAGAAACTACGCACCCTAAATCAGTATACGAAGAGAAACGATGTCCTGCCGTGGCTTTGAAACAAGCCAACCATAAAACAACACACACACAAAAAAAAGGCAACAAAAGCAAGCACACCTTCACCCTCTACATTCTCCAGCTCAAATGAAGCAGATTCACTGCTTATGATGTTGGTCGTAGTCGTGACGTTTCTCATAGTGGGTTTGATCTGAAGCGTGTCTCTTGTTTGACTATAAGCAGTGATGATGACAGGCGCTGCTCCTTTGGCATACTTGGTGCAGTTAGACCAGTTTAACTGAATGTCTTTGCATGGATGTAGTTTTCAAAAGGTGATTTCAGTTTTTCTAAATATTCACATTTATGCATGTAACATTTTCAAAATGTTGAAAACACATTTGTGACTTACAGTTCTTTGTGTATTTAGACGACTGTCACGCATGCAATTTCTTACACATGTAAGACTTTATGTAGAGCTGCTTACTTCCTTTAATTTGTTGTGTTGAATTGTGTTTTTCTTGGATGAAGCAGAAAAATCACATGTTTCCTTTTAAGCTCAATCAATTTATAAGGCAGTCATCATCGTCATCATCATCCTGGTGATCTCTTCCCTCCTGACCCTCCCGTTTACAACATCCTTCAATGCCAGTGGATCCATTGTGCAGCATTAAGTACGGGTGTCACAGTGTATTTTTATGTTTACAGGGATCAGTGTGAGCGTTTCACACTGTGTCACAATGCATGCGTTAATCTGTGGTGAAATAAATGAATAAAACTGATGTATGTCTCACCATTCTGACCACTGAAGACAGGAATTTGATGATGAGAAAAACGTTTAAATCTTGCGCAGACTTTAATTTTGGATTGAGACTGCCTGATAGATCTGTTTTTGTTTGCTTGAAAGGTCATTGTGTATAATTGCATCACACTGCTGTTGAATGCTTACAATAGAGTCGATCTATGGTTAAAGTTCAAGAGATTCCCACATATAAAAACACGTGCGTGTGTAAATCTCATCCGCAAACAACAAGCAAGCAAGATCGTATCAGCAAAATGGTTTGCGAAAATATTGGGAGGAGTATACACGGAGGAGGATATGGAAATGTGTGACGTACTACCTGCAATTCAATTTACTAGATCAGAACCAGATTAGTGTTGCTGCTTTTGGGTTTCCATTTAGCATGTTTGAAAAGCAGGTGCAAATTGGCATGCAAAAATCTACGTTCACTGAGGCAAGCACAGCATAGCATCCTATCTGTAAGACAATTAGTAGTTGGAATAAAAATGTGTCTATCTAGGACACAGACCCAACTGAATGACATTGGAGCAGTTCCTTCTACTAAGCAAGCATGAGGTGAGAGTGGAAAGAAAAGACTCCTTTATAACAAGCTGTATGTTGATCTTGTCCATATCTTGAGTCTTTAGGAATTACTAAAAAAAAAAAAAAATTAAAATAACTGGAAATGTGACAACCACAGCTGGATATGGAAGTTCATCTTACCAATTGCACAGTGAGGAGGACTACAAAAGTTTTAAGGAGATCAACTTATGTTTCAAAAACTGCTGCAAATATTTCTTTATCAATTGCAAAGAACAAAAATCTTTTCTCACCTTTTAGAACTGATAAGGTGTTTTATTTATTTATCCCCAAGTACTTTGCCATGTTCTCATAGTTTTTCATAGTTGTTTTAGGTCAGTGAAGTTTAAGCTAAATGTTACTAATTAAACAGGTAAGCCTGTTTACCTGTATAAGCCTTAATTTTATACAGACATTAATTTACCGTGACATTAATTTAAAGTGTCACAGTAAATTAATGTCACATCGAGCCAAGAAAGTAAAAATGTCAGTGCCAATGATATCTAAAAATAAATGTGTCAGTGCTCTGATTTGTTTGATTTATTTTTTTTTATTTTTATTGACAGGTGCAGCATTGCACCCATGCCTTTGAATTTGTTTTGCCAAGAAAAACAGCTTCCACATCATACAATCACGCTATGCGGCTCACTCTAACTGATCAGAGCTCATTCAGCATATTGCTTTAAAAACTTGCCAGGCTTATTGCAAAAAAATGGAACAAATGCTTCTGCCTTTTGTGGTTCACACTGTGTGTATTGTTTTCACAGTCTCAACGTTTAAGAAAACAGACCTTCAATCCCTGAAACTCAAGCGCCTACCTAACTTTTCAGACCTTAAAGTAAAGCCAAATAATTTGGACTTGCAAACATTAACATCTTATCATCACCGTTGACATCAATACTTAAATTTTAAAGTGAAACTGTACCAACACGGAAGAGAGGTATGCCAGCTTGTGGTCTGTCCACTTCAATGGAATGAATAAACAATAGACGCCAGCAAAACTGAGACTGATCCAACAATTTTTTTTTTTTCTTTTACCTGTCATTTCACAAACATCCCTGGGGGAGAGAACAAATTCCTTTCCGTCGTCCTACTTTTCAAATGCAGGTTATATATAAGGCCAAGCATCAGTGTGGCATGTGATGAGTTAAGGGAGCAGCAGGAAAGTTTTAAAGAAGTGCATGAATTTGAATACAGCCGCAGGTAAGTGGATTGTTGTTACAGTTAAAGTGATGAGAGTTTTTATAGCTTAAATCTAATTCCTCATCAGTTAAATTCTTGTACAATTAGTTATTGTGTGATGTTTGTGCAATGTGCAATGTAAAAGATTCTACTTAGGAAATTTTGCATTGTACAAATTCAGTACAACATAATTACAACATTTTTTTGCGGTATCGAAATCTAAATAATAGATTTTTTTTTTAAATTTATTGTATTTCAAGACTCATGATATTTATTAAGACAAATGCAATGGAAACACTTTATTATTCTCTGTTTTAACAATAACTTCTGCTACAACTATTTCATAACTGTTATTTAAATATTTCCACACCCTACTTTTAGGGAGGTGTGGGATTAAAAACAAAACATGCATCACTTACGCCTGAGTTTAGTTTAGATTAACCATAGAAATAAATATCCTTGCTATTGGACTGCAGCGTTAGAAAAGTCAGTTTCAGAGATGGAAACTGCAAAGTGCAGTGCAGAACAGGGTAACACTTTATTTGAAGGGTGTTGAATAAGACTGACATGACATGTCATAAACATGAATAAGCCTTCATGAATATTTATGACTGTTGTCATAAATATTCATGAAGGCTTATTCATGTTCATTACAGGTGTTTATGACAGTGTCATGTCAGTCTTATTCAACCCCCTTCAAATAAAGTGTTACCCAGAACAGTTCATCACTATAAGTATCAAAGCACTGGTTTATAAAACATTGTTTCAGTGATGAGCTTTTCTTAACATGCACAGTCAACCCACTCAGATTTAAACCAAATTCTCTCTTTCTCTCTTGATTTTAACTACATTAGTGTGACATGTCCTAAAGAAAACTCAGTGAAACTTCTAAGTATTATAAAAACTCATAAATTTTAATTTTACATATTATTTTTATACTACTGATTAAGAACTAAATTGATACTCCGGGTCACTCTCACTCCTTTCATTACATTATCCCACATGATAAAAAGCACTTTACTACACCTCGACAGTAATTATTAGGTCCTATTGAGAACTTTTTATTGAGAAAGAAAAAAATATAAAAATCACATTCCATGAAATATGTTTTCAGTTAAAGTGAGTGTCCATAACTAAACGTCGTTTTACTATTATTATTATTTTTTTATTATTTTTGATTTCGGGAAGTAAGGAAGATGATAACACAGATTAAACAGAGAAACAGGTTTAAAAGAGAAAGAAAGAGAAGATGTAGATTTGATACTTGATTTGATTTTTTTGGTTCTACATGACTTCCAAACAATGGACCTTTGACTCATTCATAGTTTCATTATTATGTT